GCTCGTGTCGGGGCACTCCCTGTACCAGACATGTGTCGTGAGACCATCCACATGTATCGACACAGGCTGGAGAGGCAGTATTTTGTTCCTTTAGCCAGGTCCGCTGAAATAATTAGCTTTGACATGCTGGAGTTAATTCACGGTCACTCGTATTGTCCACGTGCTAGCACGTGGTTACTCCTCTCATGGCGAGAATTGAATCTCTATTTTGGATTCTGGAGTGGGCAATTATGACTAAGCCAAGACCATGGACATTGATCTTGGGAGCTTCAACGAATTACTTAGAGACAGCGTCAAAGTAAAATAATAAAGACCTAGCCTTGGGCTGTTATGGTTCGCTGTAATGGAGCGATTCCATTTGACAGACAATCGAAGTGTGATAGGTTTCCCGTGGCTATCCTCATTATGGCTAGTCATTTATCTCGACGGTCGTGAAAACCATGGATCCTGATAATGAACTTGTACCACCTCCCGTGTTGATGCTGGATAAATGTGTTCCCTGTCCTTAATGAAATTGAACAAAATGAAGAATTATCGTGTAGTGCTTTTGCAAGGAGCATTGATAATACTATAAATTAACTTTGAAGCGACCTTCTCCTTGATATTATGTCAAAAATGAAAGCACTCGGCGACAAGTGGAAAGAAAAGAGCGGCTGCGTAGGGTCAGTAGAGACGGTAGAGGAGCTCGTGGAGGGCGAGGGAGACATACGACTAGGGATGTCCCCGACGCTGCCCATGGCGCTGATGGTAGGGAGGGGCAGGGCGCAAGAGCAGGAAGAGGTCACAAGTCTGGCGGGATCCTTCTTTTGCCTTATGTCAATGAAACTGTGCTATGCAAGGTGAAGAAGGCGGCTCGTGCTTCTGGGCTGGATGTTACGGTGGCCTCATACACGCCAGAGACATTGAAACAAAAGCTAGTGCATTCATCGTTTGGCGATCCACCGTGCCCTTCGGGCAACAGGATCTGCAACACTTGCAGGAGGTTGCAGAATGGTAGGTGCACGGACAAAAACGTGGTTTATGAGCTCTCCTGTACGCTATGTGGAGCTAAGTATATCGGCGAGTCGAAACGGCCTCTGCGCCTTAGATACAATGAGCATTTGAGGTGTGCTGCCAACGAGACACAGCTTACCCCGATCGGTGACCATTTTTCAGAGTGTCACGCGGGGATGTCGAAGGCAGAAAAGCTGGCTGACCCGCCACTGGAGATTAGGATTTTGAAGAAAACTAGGGACCATCCGGATAGGAAAATTACTGAATCACTGTACATAAGGGAAAGAAAACCTGGGCTGAACGAAAATCTGTCCTCGTGGCGTATCATGTGAGAACAAGTTTATCGTATGTATGTGCCCCAAAATTGTGCTTATGTGTGTGTTTATAGGTGTGTTTTATATAGATAGGTACCATACGGCGCGAAGGAGATGTGTCATTTTCACGAGCTGAATTTGAAATGTCGATTCTTGTTTTTGTGACGATGTATATGCTGTCTTTTCAAATATACATCTGATGATGGGCTGTGCCCGAATGCACATGTAAATAATTCTTTCATTTTTGACATAATATCAAGGAGAAGGTCGCTTCAAAGTTAATTTATAAAATGAAGAATTGGGAATTGTTTTATAGGTGATGCAAAAATATTTTATGTTTTTCAAAGTTTTTTTTTTAGTAAAATCCCTACTTACCGGTATGTAGGCTTTTCCATTCATTTTGTTACAATGCAATGCCACAAATGCTCTTACATTCATGCAATATTGCAATATTTTGCTTAGCAAGCTTGCTACGGTGAATATCTCATTTATCCCCAGACGTTTCCGTAAGTGACGTCCATTACGGAAAATCGGAATACCGATACAAATTAAGTACCAACAAAAAACGTTGGGAAATACCGAAACCAAACCAACTTGGGAGCATGAGGAAAATACCAACTTTTTACCAATTTCTTAGCCTCTTATACATAAGTGAGGGTTAATGATACCAACAAGTTACCAATCACATTAAGATTCAAATACCAAATGCCAAGTTGGTATCGGTTTAGTATCGGTATACCAAAAAGTTGGTATCCGATTGACATCTTTGGTTGGGACACAGAAAGTGTCTTGTCACTTGAATAGATTCGCAGTCGACTTGAACGCTCGAAGGCCTGCTGCACTTTCTGAGATGACAGTTCAATTATCACGGTATCGTATGGAGAGTGAAGGGCCCTCTGAGGTGAGGCGGCTTATTTAGCCGGACCGAAATATCACGTTTGTCCAGTTTTCGGCTACGGTGTGACCAGCTGCCTAGCTCCACCTGTCTCTATATTGCCAGCTGCCTTTCTCTACCAGTACCTGGCTCTGACTTTGCTAGCTGCTTGGCTCTGATTTGACCAGCTGCCTGGCTCAGACAGAGGTTTCTACAATCTTAAGTGCGGAAAGACGACCATCAGCTCTTGTCCGTGAGTCTATATAGTAGACAGGCTACAGTAGACCAGTCGTGGCACATTAATCGCAACAGACTGGATGGGAAGCCATTGAAGCCAGTACGGCTTTCACAAAGTCGCAGATGTCAGGGATGTCAGAGGATTTCAATACCCGTCGTCGGTCTGAACCGATGTCAATTTCTGTCGTCGGATTGAATTTTTGAGCTGATAGCGTTGCGAACAGGCGACAGTACGAATAGATAGAGGTATGTAACGGCGATGTAAGCGGAAGACGGTGGTGGACCGAAAAAGGCTACAGAGTGAAAAAATAGACCCGCGGCTGGTTACTGACTGCGATACTGTAATGAGAGTGATTCTGAGTCGCGAGTTCCGAGAATGAGTGACGGATGCTGACTGATTCGTGCTGCCAGTGGACGGAATATGAGACTGATCGGAGTACGAAGAAACGGGACGGATAGATGCCTGGCGCCTACGTTAGGTGTATGTATAGCCGTTGCGGTGTCTGAGCGCTGGACAGCTTAGCCAGCGTGGCTGCTCACTGCTCAACTGAGGCTGAAAAAAATGAGTGACCGGACAGTGTGCTGGCCGACTGAGCCGACGGTATCGATGACGGCTGAGTCACAGCGCTGCCATTGCTGGCCCCGTGTCCACGCGCTGAGGTCAGAATGCAGGGGCTGCACAGCGCGGCTGCACCGAGACTGAGAATGCGGGTCACTTTGCATTTAAAACGAGCGGGGACCGAGTCCTGATTGGTAATCTGATGACAAAAGTTCTCCCTTAGAATAGCTAAGGGAACTGGAATAGCAGCCAAGAAAGATACATTTAAGTTGGAAGAACTGGTTCTTATGCTCTCTAAAAAGCTTCTCAACATCAAAACTGCACTAGGCTCGATTCAAGTGATCTTAGTTATGCCATAGACGTTAATCCTCTTGTTTTGTAGCTTTGAGCCTTATACCCGGCTTCGTCAGCCCTGAAGTAATCCCTGAGTAGAGGCCCGGCCAAGTGTCTGTCGATGTGCTGGCCTCGTCGACTGGTTCGGCGGCCTTCGCCTGCCCGTCTGCCCGTCTGCATGGTCCGTCCTGTCCCCGGGCCTGTGCGCTGTGGATGGGCGCGACCGTGTACGATCCCGGAGCTTTCCCTCTGGCGCCTGTGTACGCCGGCAGAGGCAGCGGTCCAGACGATCCTCGTTCATTGTTCGCCGTCCAGTGACGTGTCATTGTGGTGCACAGAACGGTGTGCCGGGGTTTCGTAATCGGCACAAAGCGGGCTTGGCAGTTCAGATGGCTATGGAGAGGTTCAGGCAGAAGTGAGCATGGACAGGGACAGTCGAGGAATCTAAAGTGGCTTCCAGAACTCAAAAGATGCGAAGCTCGCGTGAACCTCGGCGGATAAATGCAACAGGTAGCTCAGGGATTGTTTTGGTGGTGTTATTTGCGGAAGAGAAGTTTTCGCTTGGCGGTTATTAAAAAGACCCACTTTCAATTTGTTACGGATCTGCTGCGATGTTATTTCCATCTTAACTGAAGCTTACCACCGTCGCGACCGTGGTAAGCGTCAGCCGACGCGTCGGCTGGCGTACATCGAGACCAGCTGAAAGCGGCTCGCACTGGTCTCGTCGCCTTGAGCTTTAAACTTTAGAGCGGGCAGAGAAGTAGGTGCAAATCCAGCTTAGTTGCGGGCTCTCCTTTTCTAGATAGATCCCAGTACCCACTTCCCACTACATGCATAATTGCCAGGAGAAGAACACCGCTAAGAAAACAGCACTCCCCCAGACGCCGTTTGCGTGAGAGCGTGTCCAATTCTGGCAGCAGGATCTAGCAAAACACACTGGCATTTAACGCATCAAAGCCTGCCCGCCCGAGAGCAAACAATGAGACATCGACCGGTGGTCTGAGGCGGCGCTGCTCCGACCGTGCCCTAATCAGGCCCCCTTGGCCCGCTGAATGGAACCCATCCGCCATTCAGCCAATCAATCGCCTGAACATTCGCGTTTCATCAGCCGCTTATGACCGTGATTTTGTTATGCTTGGTTAGGGCACGAACGGCTTCAGCCGCGGTCGAACTGTCCGAGCAGACCTTTGTGGGTCGTAGTGTTGCCGCTTTGTCGATGATGAAGTTAAGAGTGGCAGCGTCACGAATTTGACTGAGCTGCCTGATTTTATCATGAGGGACGTCTGGGCAGTTTTGGTTGGGTGGTGAATCATTCACATAAACCGGTTCTTATATCCCTCGGTAGCAGAGGCCATTCGTTTTCATTACTTGATTTGCTTTGCCCATACCAATGAAGTTTTGTTACGGGACCCATGAGAAACAAATATTTATTGCTGTCAGCTTTTAGCTTTATTTCCCTAGCTGGATATCAGAGTAACAGGCGCGTGTACTTCCCAGTGCACTCGTTGCTTCCGTAGAGTCCCTACACGAAGTCTCGCATCCCTCTGTAGACCCCCTTTGTGAGTTCCATCACTCGTTTCTCATTTCGATGAACTCAATTATCTTTCATTGATGTCTGACCCGTTTCCTATATGTTCTTCCTGGGTATGGCCGTTTATCTGATGCTTCTCCTTTTTGTGTGTGTTTTCAGTTGATTTTCAGTGGCGAGTACACCAAGGCGATGAACAAGGACTGGCACAGCGGCCACTTCAGCTGCTGGCAGTGTGACGAGTCGCTCACCGGCCAGCGGTACGTGCTGCGCGACGACCACCCCTACTGCATCAAATGCTACGAGAACGTGTTCGCCAACACCTGCGACGAGTGCAACCGGCTCATCGGTATTGACTCCAAGGTGAGCCCAGCTGAGCTAGTGATGTCGACTCCAAGTGAGCTGAGCCGAGCTAGCGATGTCGACTCCAAGGTGAGCTCAGTTACATGGGCTAGCGGTAATAACTCCAAGGTGAGCTCCTGAGTTAGCCGCTCCGAGATAAGCACGGATTCTTGAGCAAGCGGTATGGACTGGTAACTAGCGATATGGACTCCATTTGTTGAGTTATCGGTATCGACTCTGACGGAGCTCCGCTTCTTGAGCTGGATGTAAGAACTCAGGTAAAGAATTATCTATCCTTCTTGACAGACGTTACAATTGAGAAGCAAAATTGGAGAAGTTTTATCGGATCTGGCTCCAAATAAGTCCAATTGGCAATTTATCTTGCAGTTGAAACCTCAATCGTAAAAGCAGCATAAGTATCACACCTTTCTAAAAAGAATAACAATGGACATTCAACGACCAAACCACTCGATTAACACTTTGTGTTCGAATAAAGCGGCCAGTAACCGCATGTAATAGCCATTCAACCCGCGCCCGACACCACTTATCGCTCAATCAGTGTCACCGGCGCGAGCTAAAACGCCTTCCTCGTTCTACGCACCTGCGTGGCGCACTGCGGCGTGGCGCGGCGCGGTGCGTCGGTCTGCGACGTACGTGGGCGGCATTGACAGCCGGAATTGCTTCAATGACGCAACTCGATGTTATGCCGCCGCCGCCCGGTCGGGGATGACGTCACCAGGGCGTTCGTCCCTTTCTGTGGAGATGTGATCCGAGCGACAGAGCCGGTCAGGTCTCTAAAGACGATACCGTCATGCAGAAACAGACGGGCTGACATCAGGCAAACTGACGGACAGACAGACGCGCCGTTCTGTTAGCATTAACACTGTGACCGGTGCGTTCCACTTCGCTGCATGGCTCCGATATACGGACGCTGCCGAGAGACGAGACCTCAGTCGAGCCGGGTGCTGAGTTATTTGTGGATGATCGTAAAGCGGCGCCGGCGCCATTAGCTCTCTATGACCAGTCCATTGACTCAGTATTGTTCCATAACTGGCTGTGCTGTTACGCCACGATTCAGAGTCCATCTCTTATTGGAGTGAGGTGAGCGTTGCATACGCCACCTGTGCGCAAACCGGGGCTATTCGTGTGCGTCTGCTGCGATCAGACGTGGCAGTGGTAGGAATGGACCAGAGAGAGTAGTGAGGAGTCGGCAGTTGTCAATGCTAGTGCTGCCAAATTCTTAGCTGTATCGGGAGAGCCAGTGTTACGACTGTGATCTGTTGTCTTGTCAGTATAGCATCAAGGGGCCTCATAGGATGGAGTCAAGTGGCTTGGTTGCTTAAAGATATAAAATATCAGCTCTTAAAGGTTGGCGCTGATTTATTTTGAGTTATTCACTTGCCTGGTTTGGTTAAATGTTCTGTTAAGTTTTGTTTTTCATCTTTACCTTGTTCAGTGTAGTGGGCGCCTGTTTTTTTTTTCAACTCTTTATCCGATTCCGATCATTTTCTGTCGCCATTACTCATGTTCTGCGTTATCCTCGGCATAGTTTTAACCTTCCCAGTCCCGCGCCCGCAGTGGGCTCACCTTGTGCCCTTCCCTGCCCTTCGCTCCCTCGCTCCGCCGTGCCGGTGTTCCAGCCGAGAGGGAGGGCTGTGCGGCGCCCGACGGAGGTCGACTATTTTCGACCTGCCGGCCCAGCGCTCGACGAGTCAGGCCGGGGAGGGTCTGGGGAAGGGGCGAGGGGAGTGGAGGGAAGGAAGTCCGCGGATCGCCGGTCCCGGGCGGTTCACAGACACGGCACGGGTCACGGGTGGACCGTGATGAGCCGTGACAGCGACTCAGGTCACAGGTCACGGTGGGCTGCCTGTCACAGACTGGCTGGGAAAGGAGCAGATGGGCTGCCATCACAGGTCAGAAGGGCGCAGAGAAGGCACTGTCTTTTACGCAGATAACTCAGCCGAATACAGTTCCCTTCTCTTTAAATAACATTTGTTTTATTTAATAAAGCATTTATAATAGCCGTTTTCACGACGGCCATCTGGTACACATTTGGTGCACATCTGGTGCAGATTAGGTGCATTTGTGGTCAAATTATGTAGGTTCAGTGTGTCTCTTAGTAGCTATTAGCTAGGGTTACAGTAATTGTTTATATGCCTGCTTAGTGCTTTGTCATATTATCGGAGAGTATCATCAATTAAAACACTGAAACAAATTCATAAGATAAAGATATTTGCTGTTCAAGAGATTAGGTGTAGATTTGGTCAAATTAGGTGCACTCGCCGAATAGCCCGTCGTGAAAACTGCTATTGTCTACTTGCTTAAAAATAAATCGATTTCGCTGTCCATGGTGAAAGATACCAACATGGGCGGCAAAGTATGGGTGTATGTATAGCAATGTAGCAATATAACGGCGATTGAAAATGCTATTTCAATAATCAATAAATCATCACTTAATAATTCTCTTAGTTTCTTTTACATATTCTGTTACATGTTCGAAAATTAGAATGGAGCTTTGTTACCTTGACAATGTTAGATAGATGTTCTTTAGGAATTTGCGGTTATTTCGTTCATCCTGCAGTAACTTCGCATTGGCTATGATCTCTTGACAGGTAACGGGCAACCTGCAACAGTACGACAAAATAATGTAGCTGCACGCACCATTTTATCGGGCCAGCTTGTCAGTCATGTCAGTATTGCGGACCTTTTTACAGTTACCAGTTACCTGCTGAAACGGCTGTGGTCGAGGAATGGTCTAACGCAAAAACTGCATAAGCGTACCGGCTCAGGCATTCTTAGAACTCCCTGTGAATCCCCTGGAACCAGGAATGATGTCTGAAGTTGTTTTGAAGTCGATTCTCTACGGCTTAAGTCCTAGCTGGTCACGTGAATTGAGCTAGGTTTTGTTTGCCCGTGAATCCGTTGAGCTTACTCGCTTACTTCAAAGGTGATGCTAATCCAAACAATATCATTTTTCTTTTGATCGCTGATCACCGTTTGATCTGCCGCTATTGGTTTCTTCATCTTTTTATGTCTGATACCTACGGCCATTGATTATTTCCCGTCACCGTCAGCAGAAGATAAACGTACTGAAATTCAGTAATGTCCGTTTCTAAGCCCTAAGCAGTGTAGTTAGCAGTGCACGGAGTGGAAAGGAAAAAATATCCTGATTTTATACCAGTATGGCGGACTATGGTTCCAAGAATGATTTACATATGGTGATACGATTTGCATACGAAACGCTCCACTTTGGTTTCGAACCCGTGCAGTCCGTTCGGTAACATTTTGAGCACTTGTAGTTCGTCGTTTGTTGAATCTGGTAGTATCCCTCATTTAGTCCTGCATGTCATCATTTTAAAACGGTTCACCGTGGCCGAGCCTGACATTACATCTATGTGCAGCAAATAGCAATGCACTTAATTTAGAAGCACCGTCTGCTGAATGAACTCTAAAATCGGGTTTAACTCTTGAATACTAGCTCATTCTCAGCAGTGGAGCAGTGAGTTAGTCATATGCCACTGGTGCATTACAGTATTTGCTAACCCCTTTATTCTCCCTAGTAATACGGATCTATTCGTTCCTCCACGTCAGGCCCTCCCACTCGATCCGCGACTCTTGGTGGTTCGACTTGGATGCCGGCCACGGTTTATCTTTTCTGTAGACGTAACAAATGCCGGACGACGCTCGGCTTTCAGCGGGCACAAATACAGCGTCCGCCGGATGGGAAGGCGGCCCGGACTGGACGGCCGAGAGGGGATACAGCGGTGGTTGGGAGGCTGAAACTGCGTCAGCTCCTCGAAAGGCGCTACGATAGACAATAGGGAATTTTCTGTGGAGATATATCGTTGATGACGTTGATTTGTCAAGCATGGCCATAATGGTACGGACGGGAGAGAGGTACTATGGACAAACCTGTGAGCATGTTTGCGCCGCCATCTATTTTAGTGATATGGGTCAGGCAGTGTTGGACTCAGCGGAAGCTTGGTAGGTCCATCGGCTTGTCAGAGTTCAGGGAAGAGACTTATGCCAGGGTCAGGAAGAACGATCCTCTATTGACTGAATATCCTGTGGAACTGTAAGCTCGGCTGAGTTTGAACGTGGAAGCTATATACGAGTATGTAGATATTAATCGGATTATGACTCTAAATCACCTCCAGAAATAGCCAACCACCTCTGGCTAGTAGCCTTGTCGTATTCACGCTTTAGGGAACATTAGCGTTCCTCTGCTCTGCACCGAGTATTTCCGCCCAAGGGCGTGCCCTCTCTCCGACTCGACTGCTCTACCGGAGCCGGCTCTCCAGTCCGTCCCCCGGGGACCGCTCGGACGGGCGGCGAGCCCGACGCACTGTCCGAAAACACGGCCAGCTGCGACGGTGCTGATTGGTTTCGACTGTTGGGTGTTACGCAGAGGGGGAGGGCGGGGAGGTCTGGGAGGAGCTTTGATCGGTGAAAGCTCGGGTGTGACGGGATGGTTTCCGGTCATAATGTGAAAACTCGTTTTTTTCTTGTTCGACTTGCAGTCTGTAATTACTTGCAGTTTGTTTTCGCTCGTGTCAGATACTGGACTCTGTCTAAATGAGCGATTGCTCTCTCATCCAATTCATTTTCACCACGAGCTCGTCCAGTGCTTTTAGGTTTTGAGTGCTAGCTCGTGTTACAGCTGTGGAGTCGAGACCACTGAATATCAGGTTTGTCACCTGTCACGCAGAGACAGGTTCCCGGAAATAGTGCCACAAATCCGGGGGTAAGAAGCGTGCAATTATCTGCCGCAGCGATCTAAGTGTATCCCATCTGTTCACGGCGGAACGGTGAGGGAACTTTGTGCATATTACTTACTCCTGCTGACGTAATGATTAAATTCAAACGAGGGTGGTATGCTTCAAAGAGCTATTTATATTCTAGAAGTCACTGAAGGGTGTGCTTGAACTTGGTCCAGTTTGGCCTCAAATGTAGGGATGTTGTCAGACGTGCATAATACAGGATTACGCCTGAATGAATGCATTACATCTTCATACGACTGAAGTTATTTTAACCACTATCAGAGGTGAGCATGGTAACAAGATCCTCAATAATTCCATTGACAGGATGCTTTATTGGTATCATGAATCTGATATCTAACGCTATTCTCATGTGAGCTATACAAAACTAAATCGTGACTCGATCGTGACTTCGTGGGAAAAGCAAGGGCTAAGCTTTATTGGCGATCTCTTCAATCCAAATACGGGAAACATCCTAACAAGGGAAGAAATAAAAACCAAATATCGAATTTCCATGTCATTCCTAACCTACGAATCACTGATTCGAAGTATTCCCTCTGAAGTCAAAAGAGCAACAAATGTAATGTTTCAAAGACCAAACATACCATACCGGCTACAAATAGTACTCAATAAACCAAAAGTCAATAAGTACATATATACGCTACTAGTCAAGGCCATGTATGAGAAATATAAAGTTTCAGATGACAGGTTAAAACACAAATGGACCCGCGACGTTGGTTGCTTCCAAGTCGGAAGCATGTTTCAACTGAAACAGGCAACGAAATCTGTGTATTTATTATACCTTCACTATCGAATAGTTAACAGAATAATAAGCACAAATACATTCTTACACAATATTCAAATATCTAGTACTGAAGCCTGCACTTTTTGCAATCGGGATTCAGAAACAGTAGCACATTTATTCTGGCACTGCCCAGTAACGCAGACATTCATTAATAACACAGCTAGAGTTCTCAGCATGAAATATGACATATCTTTTCAAAATGACGTGCGATCGTGGTTTTTTCCCCAAGACAATAATACACTTCAAACACTTCTAACAACAATATCTAAAGCAGTAATTTTTAAAGCTCGGAATAAAGGCGAGAAACCAAGTATAGAACATATGACGACAGCAATAAGATACGAAGCTCAAAAAGAATATCTTGCCAGTCGCCTTAATGATAAAATTGACCAGTTTGAGCAGAAGTGGAAAACATTGGGGCACATTCTCCGATAACAGCAAATCTCATCGTGCCAGTGAGCACGTGCACTTTTACATCAATCATAAACCCAAACACACACCTAAGCACGCACACACCCACACTCACACCCTAACACATACACCCCCCCCCCCCACACACACACACACACTCCAACATCCTCCCCCCCCACACACACACAGACTGTATCAACTTATTTATTTCTATTGAAGTATTTAGACTTACAATTTATATGTATTTTATGTATTTACGTTTGTTTCCTTTGTGAACGGCTGTTTTGTTCAAGTAGAAAGAGACAGTATCGCAGGGATAGTGATACGTGCAGCTGTACTTGTGTATGTAATGGAAAATAAACTAACCCTTCAGTGGGACAAAAAAAAAAAAAAGAAGGCAGCAAACAAACATGAACGAGATATAAAAAAACATCTGAATGCACTGTGAATCATAGTTGAAATTACCTCGGAGCCTTATTGACATCCCTTTGATATGATGAATGGAGCAACGGTAACAGGGTAGTGAATAGCTCAACCAATACCAATATAAAATAATCAGTAGGTGGATCCTCCATTCACACTGTCAGCCTGTCCACGCCGATGCCTAATGCTCTGTCTACGTAGACGCGTGGATACCAGATCTGTATAAATATATACCTCCCCGGTCATTAACTGCCGGAACGGTGCGCTTTTTGATCAGCGGACGGTCAGGTTGTCGCACCGTCTCCGGGTGCTGATCGCGTGTCCGTCCGTCTGTCTATCCGCCTGTCTGTCTGTCTCTCTGCCGCCATCTCTGCACAGTGTGATCGATACTTTATGCCGGCTGCGACCTAGTGGGTTACAGCCCACACACGACACTCGACCAAGTCTGTCGTTATTCTGACTAAGGGGATATGGATCTGATATGGGGGGTATGGCTCCTAACTCTGACTTCGCCGAGTTTGAATATGACTGAGTGGGGCCGTATTGAATGTGGAATATGGCATCACTTCCGCTCTTCTGGGAGCGGAAGTACTGGCAGATTTCCCAGGCGTATCCGATGCACCGCGGAACTTCTTAGTGGTCAGATGCATTTGTTGTGTACATATAGCTTGTGAGGATATATACCTAAATGGGCTTCTTGCATAATGCAAAGTATGTGAATTCAGCACGTATAGCAGAGCAACTTCAGCTGAAACCGGCGACGGGGGGAGGGGGTGAATGTGCAGGACAAACATTGATCCTGGTTTGTCATCTGTGGATGGCTTCATGCATGCAAGTTTAAATTCATGCACCATTCCCATTAAAACCGTTCAAATAAGGCAGTAACCGCTTACATTTTACGATAACCGTAGTACATGTTCTGATTGTCTGCACGTGAATCCGTGTTCTGCGCTAAATCACTGACCACCGCCCTTTTTCTGTCACCCGTCAGGACCTGAGCTACAAGGACAAGCACTGGCATGAGGCGTGTTTCCTGTGCAACAAGTGCCGTATGTCGCTGGTGGACAAGCAGTTCGGCTCCAAGGCGGACAACATCTACTGCGGCCCCTGCTACGATGCCCAGTTCGCCACGCGCTGCGACGGATGCGGCGAGATCTTCCGTGCAGGTGAGTCCCACAGGGGACGGGGAGACAAAGTTACTCGGCAGTCGGCGGGGTGGGGCAGACTGGTACAATACATGGGTGGGGTTGTAAACAGAGTGGGTTAAATGGCTACTGAATAGTGTATGACAGTTGTGGAGTTAATGGAATAAATTCCACATGGGATTCAAGCTGCTGAATTTTGTTCACTGCATGTACTTCCTAGAAGCCATAAGGATGTACGTCCTCACTTTTCAGGCATATTTGACTCTTCGGTTGGGACCACAGGCTGCTGTGGTCCATTTACCACAGGTTGCTGGAATGAGTTGTTTCCAGATTCAGACTTGTCTTGAGGGGCATTACTTTGCGCTAGCTCAACAGATATTGTATTCAGCCGACTTCCTGTTGTTCTGGTATTCCCTGATAATAAATGTCTCGGTATTGTTGAAGGATTATTGTCTGGTAAGCGGATCCGTCGGACAGATTTTTTGTAGCAAATGAAACGCGGGCACGGTTACACCGCTTCTTGATCCGGCTGCTCTTCTCAAGACTTCGTATCCATGATACAATATAGGCATTGAATGTGTGACTCATGGATGGTAATGGAATGTTTCTTTGGAGAGGCATTGCAATGTTTTTTGCGCTGTCTGCGTGTCATTGCCTTCTTCATAGTCTGCAGCAATAGCATTGCTTATGTAGTGTAGGTACATATATGTAGTGTTTCTGATTGTAGACGCAGATGGCCCCCGGCCACCGCTCGCGCCACCATCGCCCACATCTGCTCCCTGCCACCCCTCGGTCACCTGGCCCCCTCAGAGACTTGGCCGTGGACAGATCTGTATTGGACCGCTCTGGATCCCGTCCTCGATCCTTCGATCGTTACTGCAAACACATTCACACAATACGAGCTCGAGTCAAATACCAGTTGGCACGATGCCAAAATGGGTCACAACACAGCTCGGGGTCCAAGAACTCTGTTTAACATTCTACAAGTAAGTAAATAAATCAAGCAATACACAGCAGATTCACACACATTCCTACACCGCCATCCTGACCCCACTGAAGACATCACTAACCGCAGACCTGACCGTGGCTGGGAGTGTCATAGTGCCGACAACTGTCCACTCGGCCGCACGGGCCCGGCATTGGCACCGGTCCATCTCACTGTCACCTGTGGCTGTGTATAAACTGCGAGAACAGTTCACCGTCACCTGTGTAGGAACTGCTCAACAGTGCGAGTTCCAGTAGACCGAGCCATACCCGAACTTCAGCATCTCCGTCTTCATAATCTCCGTCTTCTTCATAATCTCCGTCTTCATTTATCATCCATTTGTCAGCTCTAGGATAGCGTGTTCTGCATGGAGGACGAGTCGGCCATACGCTTGGGGAACGCCGTTTTTGGTCCACTGTAATTGTCGTTCAAACGGCAACCATCCAATTGTCATCGTCAATCCCATCGGACCAGACTAATGTCCAGCCAATGTCGGTCAGAATGGCAGACAGACCTGGCGCCTCTCGTACCGTATAAATAGCCTTGCCTGTGTTTGCCCGCCGGATGACACGGCGGAGTGAAGGGTCCTCCAGTGACCCTAGCTCGCGACGGATCCTCTTTTTGCTGTTTGCCTTGCTACTTCAGCGTTGGAATTACCTATTCCAGAGTAGGACCTACTTACGCCAGCGTTGGACTCGCCTATCGCTTGCGGCCAGCTTTCCTCAGCTCACCCTCTGTGTTTGTGCCACCGACCATGTTGTCCTCTCCGTGGCTGAGTCAGGTGTCACCTCCCGAGAAACGGGGTCGCCAAACCGCGCCGTCAGCGTCTGCCAGAGGTCGGCCTCTGCGTGACGTCACGGAACAGGGGCCCGTCGTGTCCGACAGCGCCGGCCGGATTAATGACCCGGGAATGTTTTAACGGTGTCTGCGGCATTTTGACGTGCGTGGTAGTGACTGAGAGTTTTTTGGTCGCATTTGTGGCTGTCAGGCGAAGTGCGGTGAATGAGACTTGTCTTGGTAGCTGTATTTCTGTGGGCAGTAGTGGCGAGATGGCAGTTGGTTCAGATATTTGCACGGAGACCTAGTACTCTCTCTCTATCCCAGGTGACATTACTTGGCTGACAGTTTTGCTCGTGAAGATGGCGCTAGTGGCCTGATGGCGGTACCGTACCTTTCACCGACCGGCAGATGGCGCCGGGTCGTCCCCAGCTTCTCTGTTCGTCCGCAGGCGGCGCTAGTGGTCCTGGCCCCGGCCAGTGAATGCCCCCTTTGACCGAGGCCTTCAGTGACGGTCCAAATGTTGACCGATCGCACATGACTGTGTATGCTGGAGCACAAACAAATGAGCTCATCCAGGGTTCCCTAGGGTGATCTGTCTGTACTTTGCATGAGTCAGCGGGAGTTCATACTCATCTTCCTGCCCCGACCAAACGTACCTTGGTGATTAATGCAGAAGGCTTCCAATATAGCCGTGCTTTTAGCTGTCTTATTTGGAGGTGCATTGGTAGTCGTTTTATTTATAGTCACCGTGGTTTTATTTACGATATGCTGCTTCTTCTACTAGGACGATGACAAGCTAGGAGAAACAAGTTGGCAAGGGATGAAGTTATTTCAGCCTCCCTTGGGGTGTTACGATTGTCGATTTCTACATGGCCCACGAAGTCAGCACTTTTAGTGGTTGAATTGCTTCCGGCTCGGCTGGCTGAGAACCTTCTGAAACTGGAGGTTCCAGCTTCCCGGCGATGGCGGCGGCGGCGGAGGCGGAGGCGGTGTTACTGTCGTCGCCGTCTGGCCGACTGTTGATGCCGGCAGTAAATATTGACGTCGGTGGCGGCTGCGGCGGCGCACGACGCACCTGAGTTCGCCGTACGCCGGTTCCTGTCACAGTCGGGACCCGGGCGGGACCTGGTGGGGAGCGGCTCCCAGGACAGGGTGTGAGGCCGCCAGACAGCAGTGCATCCCCAGTGAGGGTGCGAAAACCAATACCGCGCCAGAAGTGTTAGTGTTTTTGTGATATTCGACAGTGAACAGTGGGCTAAATGGAGCAGCCAGACGATGGTAAGATTAAATCAAGAGTGCAGTAACGATAACGTGTTGAACAGATGGGAAATGTTTCGTGTTGTGCTTTGTAGGTCTGAATAGACTGTGCTGTTTAAAGTTTAATCAGTAGTGCAACTATGTCACTCCTTGCGCTGCTAAGAATTGATTCTGCGCTTGTGCGGCCTCATGTAATTCACATTTTTGGCTCACTTCACCGAGGCGCGATTATGCCTCGTTCCTCGAGACCACCTGGTGGGAGTTGTCAGAACTACTGGTTTCACAGGTGTCGCCCTGGTGTGTTTGGTCGGTGGTCGACTGTCATTGCTGTTACTGGCACTACTATACCTACCCTGTACCCAGTTCGATCATAAGCAGCCTTTCTTGGTGCTAGGTAGTAGGTAGGTATACAAAAGCATAATGCTGCCGTTTCTTGAGTCCAATTTAGCCCCTTCATTATAAGTGTGTCAAACTGTATCGCATTGTTGCAGATGGAAGACTGCCTTCGAGTCTCCTCATTAATTATATTTTTATTGTTGGCTGATGGCCGTATACCAATATTCAAGTACATTGGCTAGTGAGCAATAAGATCATAAGTTATCAGCGCTGCTATTCATCAACATTGTCACATCTGACAAGTTGTGCGGAATGTGATAATGTTGGGAATTGTTTCATTTTTCAGCAACGTAAATGTTCATACAGCGATAATGTTAAATGGTCAAGAACGATAATAATATGGATGAAGAGTTCGCTTACAGTAAAGGCATGGATGGATAATGGACGGGGAACTTTGCGACTTCAAGGAATTGCACAACGTTTATGATATATTCCAGACTATTGAAGTACCGCAGTTTTCGGATTTCGTTCGTGGGATTTTTTTTTAGACTGCCTACCTCATCTCTGCTGACGCGGTTGCTTTGTTGAGGCAAATATTGAATAAGTGAAAGCTGAGTCAGCTAGTACGTTTTTTCACCTCCATTCGCTCATGCTGACTACCATATTGCCCCGCTGATGTCATGCGATGAAAATAGTAATCGGTGCGATTAGAATGACATAATAATCCTGACTCAGCCGCCCTCAGCCTCATGTAGCCGGAGCTGGCTAGTGGGGGAGGGTCAGGCTGGCTCACACCCCATGCATGCCCTGTCATCATAGAGGGCGGCGCGGGGCGGTCGCCGGTCCGCTCCCCACCAGAGGGCGGCGCACGCCGTGTCGCTCCCCACCAGAGGAGTGCGGTGGCGGCCCCGTTCCCAGACCCGCTATCAGGGAGGGGCTCTGCCCACTCCGGGCGCCTTATGGAGTCTGTGACCGGTACCGATCGGTTTCCCCGCTCCGTCGATGGTTTGGGTACCGCCCATGCCCTTGCCGGCCACGGTGGGCAGGGCCGTGGGATGGATGATGACAGGAGGTAATAGCGTCAGACGTCGGTGTGCCCACGAAGAGAAGTAAAACGAATTGCTGGGAGAGGCAGGGATCCGTCATCGGAACATCCCACCACGTCAGCTCCGATAGACTAGTGCTGCGCCGTGTACCAGACATCTTAATTTGCTCCCCAAAAAGGTAAAAAAAAAAATGGTTAAAGGCACACACGTGCTGGAGCGAAACCGTATTGGTTCTCTGAGGACGCGCACGTTTCTTCCAGAGCTTTTTGTGCTACAAACGTCAGTATGAGCTGCTGCGTTACAACTTCTCAGAGGAGGTATGTTATAGCCTAGCTTAGTCATCATAGGTGGAGAATTGTGACCAGCTGGGGGTGCTCGGGCGCAGCAAATCCGCCGCCGCCTAGCGGTGACCTTGACCCGCGCCGCCCGGCCGCGGCTCCAAAGCCAAGCCGGCGTGGCCGGCGTGGAATTGGGAGAGCTCGAGCACCCCCAGTCCAGCACAATTCTCCACCCGTGTTAGTCATCTTCCCATCACTGGAATGTGGTGAACAGATAGGAAGTGCAAAGTATACGTGGCACCAGGGACGTGTTTTTGGATATCAGAAACCCTGCTTGGG